TTCGGCTTTAACGCCCAGCGTCGCTAGATCCGCGATGAGCTCATTAAGATGAGCATTTTTCACTACCAACGGAGGTAGCTTCACTTTTGCCGCACTCGGGCCGGCAGAATTTTCGTTGTCGATGGCGTCGCCGAAATCACCGATGTCGCTGGCGTTCGTTGCTGTGACGTCATCACGTCCACTCGCACCATCGGACTGGCCTTGGTTTTTCTTCCTCTTCTTGGATCGCTTCACCGTGGCGGTGGTGGTATTTCCAACATCGGTGGGAAGAGTAGCGTACCTATTTGAAATAGGTACACTCGTGCTACACTCACCACTGTTCTTCTCCGCTTTCTCACGGAGCCTGCTCCGGGAGCGCTGTCTTCCCATCACACGATGCGACCGACACTACTGACGACGCGAATAAACGTTTGGAATAAGCTATCGAACAACTCGACAGAGCGAGCAAATACCGGACTGTACTGCTTGACGAACAAGCAGAGAATGCGATGAGTCTGACGGTAAAACATATCTGGTGCCTCTATATATGCAATTATATTAACATCCAAAGTCCATCCTATTTTACATATTCTGCACAAAAGAAACTTTCTGCTCCGCCCCATTCATAAAAAACTGCGGGAAATCCTATCAGGTTCTGAACCTGAAAAGATATAAAACAGCGCTGCTGTCATGCTTTTGCTCATTGTCGCTTCGGACGGCGTGGCGCTTGGTCCTGCAGTAAGCAGGACCAAATCAGCGACTTAAGGTGGATCACGGCGTGACCACAATAATGATGAAACCCCCTCCCCCTTTCACAACAACCTCTCCCCCTCCCCCTTCACAACAATCTCTCCCTCTCCCCCCTTCACAACAATCTCTTCCCCTCCCCCCTTCACAACAATCTCTCCCCTCCCTCAACGACCTCTCCTAACCCCCCACCACCACTCATCAACAACCTTTCCTAACCCCTCCCCCACTCATCAACAACCTTTCCTAACCAACCCCCTCCCCACCCCTCAACAACCTTTCCTAACCCCCCCCCCCACCCCTCAAATACCGCTCCTAACAAAACAATATCTATGTGTCAGCCACATAGGGGAAATGACGCCTTCGGCTTGCAAGACTATTTTCGGCAACCCAAATTGAAACACTATTTTCACTGGATTTTCTTACGAAAACACTTCGTTGAATGCATGCAAACGATTCTTTATGCTTTCAGCTTCAATTTGACTATATTTTTACCACTGGAAAAAAGCAATCTAGCAAGGTTTTCTTGGAATGAAACACACACACTACAAATTGTAGCTGATTTCGAGTTGCCGATAATAGAACAGCAGATTTACATGCAGTTCAAATGGAACGGTTGCCGACAATACTCGCTCTCACTAGAGAAGATTGGAGCTTTTTAAAAGCGTTTCAAAACAGTTTTTGACAATTCTTTCGACTGAAATTGTTAGAGCAGCTGGCAGCAAAAGATTGTAAACAAACCAATACTGCATATGTGTGCGTTCCTCAGAGAAAAAGGCTATAGAAAGAAGGTCGCTGCTTAGGTTGCCGAGAATACGTAAATTCCCCTACTTAAAATATGTACATTTAAAAACCATGCATGACCACTAGACTGATGCAAAATTTGAAATTTTCGCTCCACAGTGCTCAAATGGTTCCAAATTGGGCCCTGATAAGCCTCCCAAAATTTGAACTCATTTAGTGAGAAACTGACTTGGCACAAACCATTTGAAGTTTATATGGGAATTACTATGGAGAAACCATAATTTCAGTTTATATCTATCTCAAAATTCACCAGTTCACTCTACTTTAGAAAATGATAGCTGAACTTGTTGAAAACCACTTTTCGATCAAACGTAAGGAACAAAATTATTAATGATTCAAGTCCCTGATGTCTTATGATTATGCTCAATCAACTGTTCAGCAGGCAACATTGGTGTTTATGGCGCGTAGAATAGAGGACAAAAATCATGGCTACTATGTCACACTGCAGAATACAGTGTTGCCCACAATACAGTTGCTTAATCTTGCCATAAGATTATCAATCTCTTAAAAAATTAATAACTATTTAATTTGACGTTTGGATGAAAAATGATCTTGTGCAAAGTTGTAGCTGATAAAAATTCCCATAAGAATAGCAATAGAATGTGTTAACAGTACAATGTGTAAAAAGGCAAGAAGACAATGAACAAAAAGTTTTGTTTTCCCATAGTAATTTCCATGTAAACTTCAAATGGTTTGTGCCAAGTCAGTTTCTTATAAAATGAGTTTTCTCTTTTGGAGGCTAATCAGGACCCGATTTGGCACCGTTTGAGCACTGTGGAGCGAAAATTTCAAATTTTGCATCAGTCTAGTGACCACACATACTATTCATTTGCGTGTAAATTTCATGTGTACTTCTGAGTGGATTCTGTTTATGTGTGGTCAAATGAAAATCATGTGGAATTTCACATGGATATTTGTAAAGAAAATGTGTAAATTGTTTTGAATCAACCATAACCGAAACATTGAAATACTTGAAAATTTTAAGATAAAGTATAATAGTCAAAAATGCATGAAAAACAACAATTTTGTGTGGTTCTACGTAATACTGCGGTCGTGTCTAGGACACAACCCTTTACTTTTTTTTTGCAGGATGCTGAAACACCTTTACAAGAACAATTAATGAAGTATGTTGCCTGGAATGTCGATGCTAACGTTGATGTGGCGCCCCATCTGATTTTCAACGGCAACAATTACTTCATTTACGTTGACGCTCAACTCATCCACGGTGGAATTGACTCCATCCGCGCGCTGGACACTCTATTTAAAGTCTTCACTGTTTTCAACATTCGTCCGCCAGCAGAAATGCAGAAAATTATTGATTTCATCGAGATCATGGGCCTTATTACGGGTGTCACTACTCGGTGATAACGAAGTGATACTCATAATAAGAGCCGTGATTGCCGTACAAATCAAATGGTAATCACTTCACCGTGACGACAAGTGACAAGTTTTCACCGTGAAGTGACATCCGTAATAAGCCCCCATATGTTATGGAATCACAACGACCAGCACCCGTCAGATAGTCAATCGTTTGATTTCATCGTTGTTTTCATAAATTATTGCAATGATGTTCAATAAAAACCAAGTTCAGTAGTCTGTAGTTTCCATTTTATTGATTGATTTTAAAATTATTGCTAATTCTCAAATTTCAGATTAAGTCCCATCAATATATTTAAAAAAGGGGTACTTTTTACCCAGTTACGGAAAACAATGCATTCTGGAAATGGGTAAAAAGTACTCCATGATTTGACGTATAAGCTCTTTACCCATTAGTGGGTAAAGACGTTTTACCCATTTTATGAGTTTACCTACTTTACCGCGAAATGGGCACTTTTTCACCCATTAATGGGTACTTTCCAGTTACAGTGTACAAAAATGATGATGTACTATACACTGTAACTGGTGAGTACCCATTAATGGGTGAAAAAGTACCCATTTTGTGGTAGTGTATGGAGCTGTCAAAAAATGCGTAAATGAAAATTTCAAATAAAGGGTACTTTTTCACCCATTTCCGAAACCTGTTCAGGGATCAAAAATGAGTACATTTTTACCCTATATTGGGTGAAAAATATCTTTGTTGCTCCGTAACGTTGCTGGCATACTTGGTGTGCCTTGTCGAGTGCCTTTGTTCCGTTTTAGTACAAAAAGTGATAAATATGTGAAAATCTTCCTTGGAGGAGTCTACAGACTTCAAAGCAGAACTAGCGGCTCCGATAATTCGATGTATCACGGTAATAAATCCATTACACTAGATTAAGCTTTTGTTAAAAAGAGGTTCATTTTTTTTTTTGCAGGATGCTGAAACACCTTTACAAGAACAATTAATGAAGTATGTTGCCTGGAATGTCGATGCTAACGTTGATGTGGCGCCCCATCTGATTTTCAACGGCAACAATTACTTCATTTACGTTGACGCTCAACTCATCCACGGTGGAATTGACTCCATCCGCGCGCTGGACACTCTATTTAAAGTCTTCACTGTTTTCAACATTCGTCCGCCAGCAGAAATGCAGAAAATTATTGATTTCATCGAGATCATGGGCCTTATTACGGGTGTCACTACTCGGTGATAACGAAGTGATACTCATAATAAGAGCCGTGATTGCCGTACAAATCAAATGGTGATCACTTCACCGTGACGACAAGTGACAAGTTTTCACCGTGAAGTGACATCCGTAATAAGCCCCCATATGTTATGGAATCACAACGACCAGCACCCGTCAGATAGTCAATCGTTTGATTTCATCGTTGTTTTCATAAATTATTGCAATGATGTTCAATAAAAACCAAGTTCAGTAGTCTGTAGTTTCCATTTTATTGATTGATTTTAAAATTATTGCTAATTCTCAAATTTCAGATTAAGTCCCATCAATATATTTAAAAAAGGGGTACTTTTTACCCAGTTACGGAAAACAATGCATTCTGGAAATGGGTAAAAAGTACTCCATGATTTGACGTATAAGCTCTTTACCCATTAGTGGGTAAAGACGTTTTACCCATTTTATGAGTTTACCTACTTTACCGCGAAATGGGCACTTTTTCACCCATTAATGGGTACTTTCCAGTTACAGTGTAGAGATTGCTAAAGTATGATTGTGTAAGTGATTTGTTTTCATCGGGAAAATTTTCCGCTATGAAGTTTTTTTTCCCGATGAAAACATTTTGCGTATACGTATACGTGACGCACACTACGTACGACAAACGTCAGCAATCTCTATAAAAAATCATTCCATTTGACAGATATCAAAACGTCATTACCATTTTCACCCACTCGCCATCTGAGAGTCAATCGTCACTTTGATTCTTCAATGGCTTAGGGGTTTTTGGTTCTTATTTAAAAGTTCAAGGTTTCCTACGACGTACGTTAAATGCGAGTTAGTGTTCTTAGAATCGGAACTTAAACATTGTCTTTGCTACACTATAAATATTATTACATAAATTTAAATGTCTTTGATCCCAATTTCACGCAGTCGGAAATCGGCCGGAAGAAGGGTGACTTTGTGTTCCAAACGGCCCACTCGATCGAGATCGTTACGAAGCTGTTCCTGGTGATCCAGAATGCAACTGCCAAATCTCCCGAGATCGTCATCAGCACAGAGTATGTACACCGTGTGGTTCCTTATAGGTTGCATTCAAAATTGTATCAAACTTGCTTGTTCTAGATTCGAGGCTAACTTCGGCCAGCAGACGGTGGTATTTACGTTCAAATGCGGAGGCCTAGTGGACAATCCATACAATCAGACCCGTGTCCAGCGCAAAGGCAACCGGATGGAGGTGATTGTGTAACAGAGGGCCTTACCGGAGGGCGCTACTGGTGGAGGAGGAGGAGGAGGCGGAGCGGGTTGTTCTGAATTGATACAGTTGTTCGACTACGACGACGAGGACGGTATGGAGTTTGGCGTCCGGGGGTTAGAATTCGACTAGCAACGTAAGTGTACGGGTATTTCCGTAAAATTCCACGCTACCTTTGCTCACCAGTTTACTCAATCCTTGTAAGGATTAACATTGCGGTCTTTCATAAGGCGCGGTTGTTTATTTCGAAAAAGCAAAGGCCGCGTGGAACTTTGTGCCAAGACCCTTTTGAACGGTGTTTCTAATCCACTGAATGTTACCATAGTAGCACGGGAGATAGTTTTGTTTATATGTTGAAGCAATATTTGATTGTTTAGTGCCAGGACGAGCAATCGGGGAAACGTTGTTAATCGAGAATAGGGGAAAAACATGATAGAAACTAATGTGTACCAGTTGGTTGATTGTTTTAGCAAACAGTGTAAATCGAAACTACAGTAGTTCAAACGTGACGACTAACAGGTAAATTTGATTCCGCCAGCGGAAGCGTTTAAAATAAAAGAAAAATAAAATCAATTACGGCAACCTATTAGCAATTGAAAACTACAAAAACAAACTTGGAATTTAATCGTAGAGAGACTTTTATAAATCTATTTAAGTTGATGAAATTATAAGATCTAATTCCATACAATCATAGTGAGTATTATAAACGTAAAAAAAAAACTAATTTTATCGGATCCCACGCACGGTGTGGGCAACGATCTCGGAAGTTGGGTACCAGTGACCACAGGGAGTCGACCCACAAACGCTCGTTCAAGCCAATACTAAATTTTAACCTAGAACTTATTTTTGATATTGATTTTATCGACTACTACTTTCGATAGACCACGCAAAGTTTGACAGAGTTTTAACAGTCAGTGCTCTAGTTTTCCACGCATACGAGTTGATCGGTCTTTGGTATTTTTAAATAAAAGCGAAAATCAAAACAACAAGTTATAGTAATAAATGGCAGACTGTGTTGTGACTTTTGTCTGTTGTTGAAATTCGACGGAATCAAACATACACAAAAAAGGGAAATCAGAATAAAACCCTCTAGTAAAAGTATGGACGATTGTCACCTGAAAAACGAAAAAAGCTGTTCCAATCGAGAAAAACAGTGCATTTTGAAAGTTGCGTCCAATTTTTTACTAGAGGGCTTTCAATCAGATCTCTTTAACTTCCACAACAACTATTACAGCAAAAAGTACTAACCTTTAGGTAGCTCAATTTGTCTTACCAAATCGCATTTAAAAGTAAACAAACTAAAGTATTAATAATTTACTCGGAATAAGAGGGAGAAACAAAGAAGAAAAAAAAACACCGTTAGGGGAAAGTTGTTTCAACTAGACTTAACCTTCACCAACCATGAAAGGAATGCTGCGAGATCAGAGATAAAAGAAAACAAATAGGCCAAATTAAACAATTACTAGTCCTACCACTTAGCATACAACAACAAAGATATTAAAAATTGCAGTTGTGAACGAAACTGATAAAAGAAGATAACTCAATGACGCTTACTACAGTGACAGATATTAATTAAAGAAGAAGAAGAAAAAAGAAAAACATACAGAAACAATAGCAAAAATTTACCGATAACAAAGGCATACATTTATTGAGAAAAAAAAACCCCACTGTTTAGGAGGTATATGAATTAGTAATCATTATTAGACGACTAGAGAGCAGAATCAATTAACCCCCGCCACTTCAAAGTAGCTATGTACCGTTTGAATCGATCTAGGACCGGGTTATCATCGATTTTCCGTTTAGTGAGCGCAATGTGCTCGAGCAGTACGAGAAAATCAAATAGAATACCTCAGTCGGTGTGCGTAAAAAAAAAACTTTGGATGTTGTATCGAAAAAATCCGTTTCCGTTCCCCCAGATCACATCTTTAGTCATCATCGGATCACAGCACATACCCGCAGACAGACATTCAAGCTTGAATCTCATCGTGTGTAAAATGCCATAACCGTCAGTTCAAATCAGACATTCAAGTAGCAAGTAGCTTCCAGGTGGCGCTGCCTTTTGAGAAGTATTTTTTTCCTGCAGACATTTTAAAGACATTTGCATATTTTGTGAAAATGTTTAAAGACATGTTAAAACTGAAGAAGACTTCCGAAGGATTTTTAAAATGTTGAGCAAATTTTTGTCGACTATGAATAATGTAATATAATAATCAGATATATTTCAGGATAATACCACAGAGAACAGACGTTCAAGTTCGGTCAGAAACTTGTGTAAAATAAGTGGGAACGTCGCCGTTACGTGGTGTTAGCATCTCCTGATTTTCTCTATAAATTTTCCACTTTCGACCAATTTGGCGCTAGTATCGATAAATTTTCTGTTGAAAATTGCCACATGGCGCTACTAGCACTTAGTCTCTAGTGTAATTTGTGAAACGCCAGCGCCATCATGTCGGTTTGTCGGTGGATTGAGGCTCGAACAAAATTTCTCTAAAAACTTGTGTAAAGATTCCTATTCGACTTAAGCGCCACTAACGGCGACTTCCCCACTTAAAAATCCTCTTTGACAACATGATGGCGCTGGCGTTGCAAAACTTACACTCGACACTGAGTGTTGGTAGCGCCAAGTGACAATTTTCAACAGATAATTTATCGATACTAGCGCCAAATTGGTCGAAAGTGATAAATTTATAGAGGAAATCAGTAGACCTATTCCACAGAGAACAGACGTCCAAACTCGACCAGAAACTTGTGTAAAGTTAAGTGGAAACGTCGCCGTTACGTACCGTTAGCATCTCCTGATTTCTTCTAAAAATTTATCACTTTCGACCAATTGGGCGCTAGTATCGATAAATTATCTGTTGAAAATTGCCACTTGGCGCTACCAACACTCAGTGTCTAGTGTAAGTTTTGCAACGCCAGTGCCATCATGTTGTCCAAGAGGGTTTTTAAGTGGGGAAGTCGCCGTTAGTGGCGCTTAAGTCAAATAGGAATCTTTACACAAGTTTTTAGAGAAATTTTGTTCGAGCCTCAATCACCGACAAACCGACATGACACTTAATTCTGACTTATGCCCTAAAATCGTAAACGGTCCATTTAAATGTGCAGTGATCCGAACTGTCAAAACCATAGGATTTTTTGATCTAGATAAAAATAATTCGTCCAGAATAGATCAGACACGAACCAATTCATAACTTTTGCATGCAGGCTCATGGCTTAGCTAAATATTTCCCGCGAACACGGAGCCAGATGGCAGTAGTGTGCTTTGGTCAGAAATTTTATTGTTTTTGTTATGGTCATGCATGTCGGTTTGTCGGTGCCTCAATGTCTGTTCTCTGCGCCTATTCTGCGCGGCGTATGAGGTGAGGTGACACGCTGTCACTTCTGAAGTGACAATTGTCACCTCGCGTGAGGTGACTCTCCATTTGATTTGCACGGAGACTCACCTCACCCGAGGTGACAATTGTCACTTAACCATTACTTCACTGTCACCTCACCTCACTTATCTTTACACAAGTTTCTGGTGGTATTTGGACGTCTGTTCTCTGTGTTTGTACTGAGACTCACCAATTGTCACTTCACCTGATGTTCACTGTCACCTAACCTCACACACCACGCAGAATAGGCCTAGGTTAAAAATCTTCAAAATGAACTTCTTCTATCTGTATCTTGAAAAACTATCCAGTGGAATTTTTGAAATCTTATACTTCCTGACCAACATCTGAGAGCCACCACAGAGAACAGACATGGAGGCTCGAACAAAATTTCTCTAAAAACTTGTGTAAAGATTCCTATTCGACTTAAGTGCCACTAACGGCGACTTCCCCACTTAAAAACCCTCTTTGAAAACATGATGGCGCTGGCGTTGCACAAATTACACTAGACACTAAGTGCTAGTAGCGCCAAGTGGCAATTTTCAACAGAAAATTTATCGATACTAGCGCCAAATTGGTCGAAAGTGGAAAATTTATTGAGAAAATCAGGAGATGCTAACACCACGTAACGGCGACGTTCCCACTTATTTTACACAAGTTTCTGACCGAGCTTGAACGTCTGTTCTCTGTGGAGCCACCGCTTGATTTTTTTGTTTGTATCAGTTGAGGATCATTATAATTTCGATGAAATTTGTTTCTGTTTGAAAGTCTGTCTGTGACATACCTAAACCGCGGGGAAAAACGATTCCTAAAGGCCCAAACGCAATGTAGGTGGAAGTGCAACGGAAACGGAAAGTTTGACAGTTGTCAAAAATGACATCAAGATGCCTTACCGAAGTCGATTTGGTTCTAACTAGTTTTCAATCCGACAAATAGACTTGCTCAGATCGGGCTTTTCCGCTGCCGCTTCCGCTGTCATTGTGCTTGGGCCTTACCAACCAGCATGTGTAAAACTGCATTTAACAGAAAGAAGCGTGGTTAATGTGCCAAAAAAATAAAACGATTATCATAACATAGAATATAACAACTTATATATACAAACACACGTAACGTACATACATACAATTCACGCAGTGCGGGTTCTTTATAACTTTTTAAATATAAATGGAAGATTTAGAACAGGAAGAGGGGGAGACAGCGTAAAAGGAATGCAATTTTTGTGCCAAATAGTTTTTCTGTATTACTTTCTCGAATAAGTGATGCTGCAGTTCAGTTCCTTCTACTGTCACATTCAGTCACAGACAAACCAAATGTGTACAGTGTTTCGTACTTTTGACAAGTTGTTGCGTATTGCATTTCGATATTTAATCGTTTTTTTTTCTATGGGTAGCTCTCTTTTCTGGACAGTGAAGAAAGGAGCATTGGAATGATGATACAATGTGGCATCAAGAACGGCAGTAGTGAATATCTATGGTAGTGGAAGTAGAATTCAATTAAAAAAAATGGTAGAACAAAGTATATATATATATAATTCTTGACGGAAGGAAATAAGAAACAAACAAAAAAAAAAACTCATGACATTACAGTTAACAAAGAGGAACAAGTTTGATGGATGAAATTTGTGCCAATCGAGGATTTGTGCGAGCGCAGTCCGCAGTTATACATGTATTGTTGAACTTGTGCAGCTCTGCGTGTGTGAAAAAGGGCCGAAAGGGGATTCATGGGACTGGTTTTGACTGACCAACTCATCACAATACAGAATGTAGATAATCTGGCAATCATTTTCGTGTTTCACTTTAACGTTTTTAAGTTTTAGTTCGACCATTAATTTACTGAAGTGATATTTCGAAATTATTAGCATTTTCCCGGTTGGGCGATATACATTCAAATTAAGCATAACACCAAATGCGGTTGAATCGGTAAGTTTAGGATTGGTAGGTAAGATGAGTCATTACAAAGATAGCAAAATTTGTCTAAGTACTAACTACATTTAAAACTTGTATAACTGGTCACAGCATTTATTTGGAGTGTTCTCACACACTTATTTTGTACCTACTTTTTTCTCAGTGTGCCGGCAGTGCCACAGTGGCACAGTCATCAGACTGACTTTGATTGCTTGTGAATAATGGCATTCTTGGCAACGCGGTTAATCAGACAGTTAAAATGTTTTGTTTTGAAGGCGAAGAAACAACACAACAAGCAGTGGAATCCGAACCAATACAAGAACCAAGCAGGGGCCGAATGTGCTACGGCCACAGAGAACAGACATGGAGGCTCGAACAAAATTTCTCTAAAAACTTGTGTAAAGATTCCTATTCGACTTAAGCGCCACTAACGGTGACTTCCCCACTTAAAAATCCTCTTTGACAACATGATGACGCTGGCGTTGCACAAATTACACTAGACACTAAGTGCTGGTAGCGCCAAGTGGCAATTTTCAACAGAAAATTTATCGATACTAGCGCCACATTGGTTGAAAGTGGAAAATTTATAGAGAAAATCAGGAGATGCTAACACCACGTAACGGCGACGTTCCCACTTATTTTACACAAGTTTCTGACCGAGCTTGAACGTCCGTTCTTTGTGATCTGATTGCATTTTAGATCCACAACCGAAACTCTTCCGGGGATCGAAATCGGCTGCGAAGATCAACGTTGCATACGAACTGGGACAACGCAGACGCACGGTTTAAGGTGGCCAATGTTATGTACGAACTGAACGAAAAGAAACTGAACCTAAACCATGCGTCAGGAAACAACAAAGAAAAAAGAAAC